TTTACGTATCGTAAATCAACACGACAACAACACCTTCTTCTTCTTCTCACCGTAATTTATACATCATTATTTCAAAAAAAAATAAAAATCTCGTCAAAGAGGAGAGAAAACAAACAAACAAACAAACAAACGGTCAATTTTTTTTACTGTACAATAAAATCACAAGTAGGCCAAAAATATTTTTGGCAAAAATATCTCTCTTTTTTTTCTCATTTAAACAACATTATTTTAACAGACAACCAACGAACCAACAAACAAACCAACCAACGAACCTGTACGTCAAAGGAATTCGATTCGAAAGAAATAGCGAGAGAGAGAGAGAGAAAGAAATTTTTTTTAAATGGTCACATTACCTTGCGCAAATAATAATAATAATAAATGGTCTGTAATAAAAAAAAAAAAAATCGTTTCGATTGCCAAATAGAAGGAAATTTAATCGGGAAAAATAAAAACGGGAGGCAATGGGTGTAATATCACGGCCGATAAATAAATAAGTAAATAAATAAATAAAATGCAACACGCATTCCTAATATTAACACACGCACACACACACACACACACACAATAATAGTAGTAAAAAAAAATAACGATTTTTATTCGCCATTTTAAATTTTTTCATTAATTTTTTTTTTTTTTTGCAAAAAACTATTTTTAAAAAAATTTCGAAAAAAAAAAAATAAAAATAATAAAAAATATTTTTACTGGGGAGTCTATGAAAGAAATACCTGAACACCAAAAAAATTTTTTTTTTTTTCTTCTGACACGATGCCAAAAAAAACTTTTTTTTTGATAAAAAATTTCTTTCACATATTATGTTATTTACGCAACAATTTTTATACTACGTGAGACGGTTTGCCGTGGCAGAATAAACCGCGCACACACCGCACGCACACACACACACACACACACACACACACATCTACGTACGTTATGTAAAAAAAAAAAAAAAAAAAAAAAAACCTTTGGCTGGACATCAATCAATCAATCAATCGATCGCCTTTCTAATGTTACACATTCAAATTCGCGTAATGTAATAACAATAATAATAATAATAATAATAATAAACACGTTTGTATTTATTAAAACGACAAAAATTCATTTAAAAAAAAAAGAAAAAAAAGAAGAAAAAAAAATCAGAAATAATTTTTCTTCTTTTCCTTCTACTTCTCTCCCTTTCTCCACGTCCCCTCTTCTCTCCCCCATCCCCCACCTACCCCCATCACCCTAAGAGTGAGAAAATTTAACGCCTGACTAAATAAAATTCGATTGTTTGTTGCATGTTAACAAACATTTATTTCGAAAAAGAAAAAAAGGTGGAGAATTCATTTACTTTTCCATCCAATAATGCATAAATCATATTGCATGAGTTTAAAAAAAAAAAAAAAAAAGAAAACGAACCTAAAGCGCAAAATTCCGTGATTAACCCTTTGTTTCCAGTTTTTATTTTTTCATTTTTTTAGTAAACCAAATTTAGAATAATAATAATAATAATAATAATATGACGAAATCAAAACCGTGAGATTTTTTTTTTAAAACTACTGACATGTTGACACATTGTCGCAGAAATTTGTGTAGCCAAAATGACAAAAAAAAATAAAGTTAAACACAAATGTTTGCTCGTTCGACTAAGGTACTAATAATAATAATAATAATAAAATTACCAACTAACCAACCAACCACCCTTATGTTCTTTTCAAACTTTTCCTTTTTTTTTAGTAAATATATGTACCTTAAATCCATTTAATCCAGGTTTTACTTTAAAAAAAAAAAAAAATTTTTTTTTTTCGATTTCGTAATTTTTTTCCTCCTACATATCTCTCTCTCTCTCTCTCTTTTTTTTTTTAAACGAAACGAAAAACTATTTTTTTTTAATTTTAAACAACTAAATAACCGTTATTCAATTTTATTGAAAATCACTTGGAGAGACGAAGTGGGGGGACGAGCGCACACACACACAGGGATAAAAATTTTCTTTCAAAACAAATTTTTCACAATTTTTTTTTAAATACAAAAAAAAAAAAAAAAAAAAAAACCCCGTGGTAAAAAAAACATTACATAAAAACGTTAAAATTTTATAAAATGATATAAATTAATAACAAAACGAAAACAAACAAAACAAACAAACCCAAAACGAAAAACAAAACGAAAGGAAACAAACAAGAAAAAAAAAACAATTTTCGAGATGATTATATCGCGAACTTCACATCAAGACTGGCAACAATATGGAGTAGTTTTCCAAAAGAAAAAAAAAAAAAAAAAAAAAAAAAAAAGTAAAAGAAAAATAATAAATTTAAAAAAAAAAAAAAAAAGAAAAATTATATATTTAAAACACCTAAGACCAAACGAGAAAAAGACTTCAAAAAAAACTGACTTTGACATAAGTCAAACATGGGAGAGATTTTTCCCCCCCCCTCTTACCCCACCCCCTCACCGTTTGCCCCTTAGTTAGTTAGTTAGTTAGTCACCTCGAGACTATGTGTGCTTTAAATTATTGTACATTTTCACAACGAATCAACAACCATTTGTTTAGCTTATGACCGTTCAACCATCACAGACCTTTCCCCTTCCCCCCTTCCCGGTTAAATTAAATTCACAACGTTAAAACTTTTTTTTTTTTTTTTCCCAATGAATGGAATGGGGCATTCAACGCGGACGTAACGGTACATGTAATCAATTCGTTCGAAACCTTATTTTTCGTTAAAATCTTTTTCTTTTCTTTTTTTTTTTTTTTTCTTTTTGGTTCTTTTATGTTCCATAACATAAGTACTCTCTTACGAGAATAAATAAATAAATAAATAAATAAGTGAAGAATTAAGCCGGGGACTTGAAAAAAAAACCCAAACATAAGTAATACGTAATCACAACAACAACAAAAAAAATGGGGAAAAAAAAAGAGTAAAAAATGACAATTTTTTTTACAATTCTTGTTTTTGAAAGTGATTCGATTAAAATTCAGATTATTTGTCATTTGTATTCAGACATCATACATACAACAACAACAACAACAAAAACTTAAAAAAATTATTTATTTTTCCCAATATTTCAACTGTCGAAATCATGGATGCTGCACATCACAGAATAAAAATTACACGCAAATCAAATCTTATTTATCCACGTGTAGGTAGTGTATACACGTACACGTACACGCACACGCACACACACACCAATTATTCACAGGGAGAAACCTCGTCAACATTCTCGCAAAATAAAATCTTTAAATTTTACCCCCTTCAAAAAGAAAAAAATTAAAGGAATGAATGAATGAATGAAATTACAAAACTACCATTAGAATTTATGTACATTCGATATAAAAATTAAACTTATAGATTTATGCGAGTGAACAACAATGAACCGTAAAAAAAATTACAAAACAAAACGAATATGGTTAGTTTAAACGTTGCAAAACTGGAGAGGCTGGCAAACGAGACCACAACTTCTCGTATAAAAATTAAAAAGTGAGGATAAGATAAATCGAAACAACACATAGACAGATGATATAACAAAAAAAGAATAAAAAACGAAAGCCGTGGGCGAAACGCCATGAAAAAAAAATCACATACACAACGTATATGCTCATATATACGTTAAAAACACAAACAAACCCTCACACAATCTTACTATCATCATCATCATCATCATTTCATCGAACTTAACCAAAACAATAAACATTTTATTCGACAACAACAACAACAACAATAGTGACCTTGAGTGCCTTATAAATCGTCTATAAATAATATTTGGCAAAATCAAACTCGATCTCTCTTTTATCAAAACACATTAACTTGTGTCACAAGGTACAAAAAACGATAAATACAAACAAACAAACAAACAAACAAAGTGTAATAATGTCAGGTGGGTAAGAATGGGGAGGAAGGGGAGAGAGAGAGAGGAGGAAAAGAAACCGCGAAACATTATGAGAACAAAAATAAAATAACTTGGTCGTGAAGTTTTTTTTTTTTTTTTTTTTTTAAGGAAGAAAAGTAAGGAACCAACAAGAAGAACAAGAAAACGAGAGGAGAAATGTTAGCCTTAAAGAGATTTAACAGGAAAGGTCGACGACCTCCGTTAACCGCTATAGTTGGGTGACCAAGTAACTAGTTGCTTAAGAGTACCGAAGAAGTGGTAATGACCCCCCAATACCTCCTTTGTTTGTTATAAATTTACTATTATTCGAATAATATCTTGATATGAAAAAAAAAAAAAAAAAAAAAAATCTTTTATTACCTTACTCGGTTATTAAATAAAATAATATAAAATTAAATTGAATAATAACTATACATAGAGAGAGAGAGAGAGAGAGAGAAAACCATCTTTCATCATCATTCGAAAGAAAGAGATGATGATAAACTTTTAAATACCAAATATCCACGTTTAAATTATGTGATTACATAAAAACCTTGGCCGTGAAAAAAATTAAAAAAGACGCGAGAAATAGAAAATTAGGATGCGAATAAAAAAATATTTCAAACGCGTAAATGAAATGCTTAACAAACAAACAAACAAACAAACAAACAAACAAACAAACAGACGAAAAAAAAAAATTAATCTAGCCAGTCTATCCTACTTAATTTTTTTTTTTTAAATCAATCTCGTCGACAGGTGGACGACATTAACGAAATATTTTTCTCTCGAATAACGTAAATAAATTTAAACCCCCTCCCCCTCCCCGAATCCTTCTTCTTCTCCTCATTATTATTATTATTATTATTTCGTATGTAAAACTTTAAAAAAATCAGATCAATCATCAAATTTTAACTCGAAACATTTACATAATAACGTACCGTTATTCGAACAAAATGTTTTTGAGGAAAAAAAAATTTTTTTTTTTTTAAATAACAAAAACCTAAACCTAAACCTAAACCTAAATGATGAACGAGAGCAAACCTTGATGGAATGACAAAATAAATAACTGGCCAAGACAAGTTCAACACAGAATCTGATCAGATCAAATCAAACATGTTGGCTAACTCGTAAAACAAGAGGTTTTATTATTATTATTATTATGTTGTCGCATATGCACAACAATTCGTTACGGCAAATACTAATTGGTAATCAACATTCTATTAAAACTATTATTATTATTATTATTATTATTACGATTCTCGCTAAATGATACGAACGACTATTTACCAACAACTACTTTACGACCGAGTTAAATTTTACGTATGAAATATATATTGCGAGTGAATGATGATGATGAATGTGTCATGATAAAAAATAATTTATTATTATTATTATTATTATCTTACCTGAATGTCCAAATTTTGAGGTAAGACTCCGGGTGAATCCATTCCGCCGGAAGCACCCGCGAGAACCGTCGGCGTTCCATTTCCGATTCCGCTCGCATAACTCGATGGATCGAAATTTTGCTCGAGAGTAGCGTGAACGGCGTGTTCAAAGTGTTGATTCAAGTTGTCATGGGGGGGGACCGGAGGAGGACCCGGGAGCAAATTTCCATTTTGCATCGTTTGCTGCTGTTGGTGAGCTTGCAAAGCCAAAACGGGATGCAAACCGTTCATGTGTCTCATCATGTGGAGGTGCTCCATTTGAGCAGCTTTTTGCGCCATGATCGCGGCCGGCTGCAACGTCATGGCTCCGCCATTGTTTTTATTTATTTCTTCTTCTGCCGGCGAGGGTTGACGACTACCGGGAGTCCGACTAAAACATACAAATAATACAATAAATAAATAAATACGAAGGATTTTTATAATTCAAATGATATTTATATTCAATCAATCAATCATTCTCGAATCGCATTATTATTATTATTATTAAAATGTAAATTCTTACTTAAAAGTTTTTTCGTCGTCTGGCAACCCATTAGAAGCGTGGCCATTTGCTTGACCTGAATTATTACCATTTACATCATCCTTTTTGGTTTCGTAAGAATTTGTTGAATTTTCGTTAAGTTCCTTTTCTTTTTTATCTCCATCGGTAGAGTTCTGCAATCACACACACACACAAAAAAAAATTATCATTATTATTATTATTATTATCAACAAATAATTCAAATCGAATTAATAATAAAAATAAATTGCTATAAAAATGGGTAAAACTTTTTTATACAAATTATAATTATTATTATTATCACAAATTATTAACAATTTAATTTTATTTTTAAAAAAAAAAAAAAGAAAAAAAATTCTAGAAACTTTTAGAAATTTGACTTTCATGTAAAACTAAATAAATATTGATTTAAACATTTTTTTTCTTTTTTTTCCATTTAAAAAAAAAATAAAAAATAGTAATAATAATAATAATTATGTAATCATTAGGAGATTTTAAGGTTTGGTATTGATTTCGCGATGGGGGGAGGGGGAGGGGGTGGAGCGGGGGTGGAAATCAATACCAAAATATATAATATAATGACCTTCAGTGTCTGAAAAAAATGAATCTTTCATTTTTGTAATTAATCCTTTTTTTTTGAAAATTTTTAATTTCGAAAAACAAATTTAAATTACATACTCGCATGCAAGTATTCGTTTAAATATAGTCATTTTTTTTTTCTTCTAAATAAAAAGAGGAGGCGTAGTATTTGTAATTTATTATTTGACACCCACCTATTTCATTTCATTCATTCAATAAACTTTAAACATTTTGGGGGGATGGGGGGGGGAAGAAAAAAAAAAATTTAAAATAACTCGCGAACCTCGGGTAAAAAATTTCGTATAAACAAAAATTATACATAGTCCATCAAAAAAAAAAAAAAAAATTAATAATAATAGAAAATTCGTGGGTTTTCACTTTAAGGACATTTCTTTTTCCCATTCAAATTGATTCGAGTTTTTCCTAATGTTTTACAATAACAAATCTCTACGCTAATTTAATGTAATTCATATACAATAAGAAAAGAGTGAGAGAGAGTGAGAGAGAGAGAGAAAAAGGTATAGATAGACCTCGAAAACTTTTCAATATTTTAACCGCAACCTTCCCTTGAACTTGATAAGATGAAAAAAAAAAAAAAAAAAAAACAATTTATGGAAAAATGTTAATGTATTTAAATTCATGAAACGCTTTTTTTTTTTTTTTTTTTTTAAATTTCTGTCATAAATGTAATTCAAATCGAGCATTAAAAAATCTTTGAGTGTTGCGTGAAGAGAGAGAGAGAGAGAGAGAAAAAAGGGAAAAGGTTGAACGATTACCCTATTACCCTATTTAGGGTACCTATTTAAGTAATACACATTAATTAATTAAATAAATTTTAAACGATTTCATTTCATCATCGCCGCATACTTGCGAGTATTTAGTTAGTTCGGTACTATTATTATTATTATTATTATTACTACTACTACGCCTGTTACGTCACTCTTTTAAAAGAGATTTTAATTATTATTATTATTACTAACCAATACTAAATTTCTCATTCTCGATTCTAAATGATCCTTATTTGTCGGCGATGTGGCCAAAACGTATTCGACCATTTTGACGCCGAGGCCTCCAGTATCAGATGATCTCGGTGATAACATGTTTGCAGTGTCGCTACCAGGAAAACTTCCCGATCTTCTAGGAACCATTGATATAGGCTGTGACACTGCATGATCTGGAAAAAAAAAAAAAAACACGTTTTAAAACTTGTTATAATAACTTTTTCTCCTTTCGATTCTCTTCTCTCTCTCTCTCAAAAAAAAAAAATGTCAACATACCAGCTATACTCCAAGTGGAATCTCTCCACATTTGGTGATCACTGAGATGCAACAATCCTTTGTCATCCCTTTGTTCTTCAACACCCCATAATTTTTTGGCTGATGGAGCAATCTGTAAGAGAAAAAAACAAAACAAATATATAAGAATTTCTTTAAGGAAACCCGACTAAATTAATCATACTCGATGAATGTTGTTGTACTACTACTCAATTTTGAAAAAGGAAAAAAACAAAAACAAACAATTTAAAATTTTCCTTTATAGAATTACACATAAAAAAAAAATCAAATAAATCATTTGTTAACTCTAAATCAAACAATGATTTAAATTTAAATTTATTTCCATAATCGATTATTATTATTATTATTATTATTGTTGTTAAATCACATTAAGAAAAATCAAACCGAATTAAATAAATCAAAGTTTAATAACAAAAACAAAAGAATTCGGTTAGTAATAATGAGAATATTTAATGAAAATAATTAATAATTATTTTATTTATTTCTGTCACCTTTTCAAACAAACCAATTTTACTCATCAACAACGACCTTACACACGCACACACACACACACACATTTGACAATTTTTAACAAAATATTAAAAAAAAAAAAGAAAAAAAAGAAAAGCTTATTACATAAAATAGAAAAAGACGTGAGGAGTTTATAACGTCGTTCAACACTTATTTTAACAGACTACTTAGTTTTTTGAATGGCCTCCACCACCAAACTATACAACTTATAAAATATATATTATACAAAAAATATTAATAATAATAATAATGATAATATGTATTTATTACTTGGAAAAAGCCGGTTAAACTAAAAACAAAACGCTTCGTACAAAATTTACAAATAATAAAAAAAAAAAAAAAAACTTTTTTTTATAATAAGCTGTTATGAAAACAAAGAACCCACGTTAACATAAGACGAGACCAAGTTGTCTCTTCCCCTCCTCAAGGTGAAGGAACTCAAAATTACCAACTTTAAAAAATAAAAAATTTCGAAAAAATAACAATGTACAATTTTCGTTTTCGCGTTTCTTTTTCGAATTTCCTTTCTTTTTTTACAAAATATATATTTTTTTATTTCGCGAAATGAAAACAAAATGAACATGAGCAATTTGTGATAACTTACTGGAAAAATTTAATACGAAAAAAACGACGAGTTTAAAAAAATTTTTTTTTTTTTTTTTTTTTTTTTTCATTTTCAAAGATTGGCATTGTTTGGCGGCTTGGACAAGTTTTGTACACCAACGGACACACAAAGGAGCAAATGTATTTTTTTTATTTTTTTTCATTTTAAATGATTTTTTTTTTTTTTTTTTTTAAATTACATTACACATTAAGAATAACCTATACACCGACTACCTCCCTTCCCTTCCACCCCCCCTTTCCCCCCTGGATCGACTCCCACCTAATCGATTCCAAACAAATACATATATGCATTTATTAATGTAACCAACTTATTTCAACGGAAGCCATTTTTACATGAAACTGTAATAAATGATGATAAAAAATAATAATAAATACATAAATAAATAAAAATAAGTTAGAAAAGGGAAATTTTTTTTTTTTTTTGTCTCAAGCCTAGCTAGTGAAATAAGAGGAATGGATATGGAGTTTATAATCTATGCGGTTAGAATACGTTCGTCTGGGCTTCAAGGTCAACCAAATTTTTTTTCTTTTTTTTTCGTCTCTCTCTCTCTCACACACACACACGCTCATATTTTTACCTCGCATTTAATTTTTATTTATTCTTTTCTATTTTTTTTTTAAACTTTTAAATCTCATTTATCTATTTAAAAAGCAACAAAAAAAAAAAAGCACAAATATATGTGTGTGTAAAAAACTTTATAGTTTGCTATTCAAATCCATAATTAAAAAAAAAGCAAGTCGTCCAACAAACAATCAATTAAAAAAAGAAAGCAATCACGACAAACACACACACACACGCGAAACCTTTTTCGTGTCCATGTTTTCCACGAGGAAAACATGGAAAAGGTGCTAAAAAGAAAAATAAACACCAAGTACAACGACCTTGCCAACCTTGGTAGCCTTGAAAAATCATTAATTGCCTCATTTCCATGTCTCGAACAATTACGACTGAAATCACCTTTTCAAATCCCAGGCGCTTCAATAAGATAACATGTTAAACAACATCTTTGACGACACTTCCGTTTACAATTTTTTTTTATTTGGGGAGCGAGTTGAGAAAAAAAACAAAAGTTTTGAGAGAGAGCGAAGAAGAAAAACTCCTTTTTTTTTTAAAACTTGCGTCCATCGAATAAATAAAAAAAAAAAGAAAAAAAAAAATCAATCGAGGGTGACCGACCGACCAACCAACCAACCAACCCTACCATTATTTCACCTACATATACATATATAGTAGAACCCTCTTGTAAGAGTAATAGCAGTAGTCATGCCCGAGACAAAAAAAACATGCAATTGTTTGTTGTGCAGCTCCTTTTTTGAAAAAGAGTGAAAAAAAAAAAAAAAAAAAAAAAAAAACATAAAAACTGAAAATATTTCACCGCCGACTATTAATCGATAATTTTTATCCTTTTTTGCAAATTAAAATAAATAAATAAATAAATGAAATATTTACCGGTCTCGGTTGCATGTGTGGCGGCAATGGTAATCCCGGATGATGCTGCGTCATCATGGCCATTTCACTGTTCATGAAAATCATTTGCTCTTGACTCGGATGCTGTTGTTGGTGCTGTTGCTGTAATTAAAAATAAAAAAATTGTAATAATTTTTGAAATTCACTTTTGAGGAAAAGCCCAAAAAAAATTTTTTTTTTTTTCTCCAAACAATAATTCTTAACATTTTCTTTAACTATATCCTCATGTTGACAAAAAAAACAAGCAGCTAGTAATAATAGGTATATTGGAAGTAAAAGAGGGATAACACTTAAATAATCCAATTGATTCTTTAATCAATATGGCTCATGTTTTTTTGAATTTTTTTCAGGGACGGGTCATATCATATTTGTTTCATGTCACTTCCCGTTCAGGACTTACTGAGAAAGACTTCTTTTAGCAGGGATCGATCACAATTTCACGGTTATAGATAAACCCTCGGAAAATACGTCAATTAAATCCTTTAAAAATAAAAAAAATTAAAAACAATAACGGCTAAATAATATTAATAATAATAATAATAATAATAGTGTCGTTTATCGTTAATTAATTATCATAATAATAATAATAATATTTTCAACAAATCGAAACGAAAGACACCGACCAAACTTTTTCTTTCTTTCTTTGTTAAAATTAAAAACAAATAATAATAACAACAAGAAAATCATTACAATCAAACGTACCTGAACCAATTCTTCATTTCCGAGCGCCCATCGAGCTGGTATTTTTCCAGGTAGAGGTATGTTATTAGGTGGAAATTCTGGTTGCTCTCCAGCTCCCCTTTGAAAAACGTAACCTATCATGGCATCATCTTGAGTTCGCGGTGGATTGTGACCGTGTGCTGTCGGTTGATTACTTAAATTTATCAAATTGGGGTCCTCCCCAGGCCACTTCATTTCTGGAAAATTAACATTTTTAATATTTATTTCTATATAATACATAATAAGTAACAAGCACACACAGCTAGTAATAATTCGCACAAGAAAAAATAATAAATAATAATAAATATTTGTTGTATATTACAAGTAAACCAAAAAAAAAAAAAAAAAAAAAAAAAAAAAACATCATCAAAATTATTTAAATCTCGCGTTATGTCAAAGAGAGAGAGAAAACAAAACATTACATAAAATTAACGTCAAACGCACCCGCACGCACACACACACACACACACACACACACACACACACACATATACATTTCGATATAAATTAATTATTATTATTATTTAATTTTAAAAACAAACGATTTTAACTACTATTACAATTTGTGTGTGCAACGGATTTTCCATCAACACCATCGATTTGATTGTTTAATTTTAATTTATTAAAAAAATAATAATAATAATAATTTTGTTGTTGTTCATCGAACTATATCATGTTCAATCAAAATTCAAATCTATACGTTTAATTAAATAAATATATATATATATATATATATATATATATATATATAAATATACGTAGTCTATTTAACATTAACCATATTTTAACAACAACAATCAATAAAATTAAGATGCGTAATAATAATAATAATAATAGTAATAATAATAATTTTAAAGATAATAATAATAATAATAATAATAATAATAATATATTATTATTAAATATAATGATCACTACGAAAAAATAAAAAATAAAATAAAATAAATCCTTTTTTTTTTTTTTTTTAAAGAATTCATTAATTATTTACAATCATTTTAAAAATTAATAAGAACTCTTTGAAAAAACGGTCTTTAGCGACGAAACCGTGGAAAAGCATTTTTCCAAAATGTCTAAATACATTAAAAAAAAAAAAAAAAGGTGGGGGGGCACATTTTATAATAATAAAAATTTACGTAATAAAATTATTTTTTTCTGGTATTTAATCACGCTTCATAACCATTAATTAATGTTTTTTTTTTTTTTCGTTTTCAAACTTATTGTATCGAGTTATGTATATATATATACATAATTTGTAACTTAAATGCAATTTAATAAAATAATTAATTAATTTTATTTATTTATTTAATTTTTTTTATTACCTTAATAAACATTCGCAACGTGTATACTTATGCCATCGTTAAATATTATTTATACGATCGTAATTTTTTCGAACCTGTTAAATAATTCTATTATTATTATTATTATTTTATATATATATATATATTTTTTTTTTGGAACGGTAAAGAGTAAAGATATCAAAGAGTCGCGATAAATAGAATTTTACAACAAAAAAAAAAAAAAAAAAGAAATTATACAAATATAAAAAAAGTTTTAACTTAATAAATATTATTACATCTACTTTAAGTTTACCTTTAAAAAAAA